GGTTGGGCGTTTTGTCTAGTTAAGTCCCATTTCGTAACACGAAGTGTATTTATGGGTTTCGCACGATTCTCAGAATAAACAGCGATTACTTCCCTAAAGAGCGTTACAAATTTAGCGTTGTCATGGATACACGTAAGTTTTCTTTGAGGTCGGAGCTGGATTCTTGAATATTCTTTAGATGAGTTGCGGCTTCAGAGGGTAGACAGCTCTCTCTATTTAGTAGTCCCCTACCTGATAGTCGCTCAGATAAATTCTGTACCCTTTATGCAGTCAAAATGTTCATTACCGTTTTCACAAGAGCCCACCATGGCCCCTGTCACGAGCCATGAACTCTGTTGGCATTCACTGGAAGAGGATTTTAAAGCCCGTGTTGATATTAGTGTCCCATCTGTGCCCTTGTCTTGTTTGTCGAGGTTTTCCGACTAAAATCCTCTGCAGGTGTTCATTTCTAATCTCTCCCCCCCCCCCTCATTTGCGCTGCGTGTCCCACAAATCTGGTCTTATTTCATTTGCTGACCCCCGACAGCGTTTGGTGAAGGGTCCAAATCATGACGGGCACAAACTGCCCTTCAGCGTTCCGTGTACGTCGGTCAGGATCAGTAACCAAGTATTACACCCATACAAATATCAAGTAAAAATTAGAGTTTCGTGTGTATTAATCAATCTTTACGCTTCAAAATAGGTCGCTGGAACACGAAAGGAGCGCCCGTAGTTGCTCGCGTGTTGATGTTAGTCGCCGATTGATACGTCACGTCATGGTCGCGTTAGGACGGCCTCTACACGTAACTCCGAGGACGCCTAATGACTCTCGGCGACTGTACAAAGCGACAGATTGAGTCGCGGGGACTTGGCTCTCTCACCCGCGCTCTTCCCGGGTAAGGAAGCCGGAAGCTGAGGTAGAGTTTCGCCACGGTCGTGTTAGATTTGAGGCTCTCGTGTCCGTGTGGGTAGATACCGGCGTTACAACCCAGAAGACCAACTCGGACAGTTCGTACCTGGTCGGGACACTTGGGGGACTTTGTCTTACGTCTGTCCGAGGGAAACTGTTTGAGCAGTTGCCAAGGAAACTCTGTGAAACTCAGGAAAGAGATATTAACTGTGTTTTTAGGGATGAAGGTTGTGATGGGCGATGCATGTAGCACGATTCACGAAAAATGAAATATTAGCCTATATTGATTCTTGAAGTGACAGTGCTTCTGAAGGGACGATAGACATAGACATAAGAAGATAATATTAAACTGGATTTGAGTGAGATTGAGTGGTGCTGTGAGGCGTGGAGTGCGTTCATTGGCTTAGGAACTGACAGGACATAGGAGACAAGTGCTTAATGAAGAGCCGACTCTTGGGATAAAATCAGGATGTCATGTGGACAGGACACGTAGCACGCGTGAGAACGGCTGAGAAATGCGTATAACATTTAACTCGGGTTGCGTAAGAAGCTGGAGATGATGAACGTTTCATTTATAAATTCTGGTTATGATAAACCCGCAAATAATTTACCGTTGAGGAGTTGGAAAGGTTATTTTCGTTTATTCAGCACAGAAAGGCGAGTGCTGTTGGGCTACATATCTCGTGTGTGGCGTGGAATGGGTTGAATTTCACTCATTCTTTCCGCCCTATTTTTCGGAACACTCAAATTCGAGCGATTTATAATAATCTCCGACGATGGAGCTTCGAAGCGACATTTCCTTCAGATGTAGTAATGTTTGCGAGAGCCAGGTTTACGATTATTACTAACGAAACGAAGCGGTTAGCACCTGGTGTCCACTCTGAGGCCAGTATCACGTATTATGACCACGTGTTCCCATGGTTTTCCTCCAGGGTATTTCTTAAAAATATCCCGCGGAAACTTGTTTTTATTCGTTATTCACTATCGCTCATTCGACGCTACATAACCTCAGCAGTTGATACAGCTTCTTTACATAACGAATTAAAATGAAAGTAGTAGGAATTTGTACGAAATCGTCTGAGTCTGTGGAAGTCCAGCGGGACAAGTTTTGGGCTCCGTTGCGAAAATCATTAGGGACTTGATGGTGATCTTTGCAGTGCTGGATTTATGTACAGCCATGATTCTCCCAAAGGTTGTAATTATATTGTGATAAATACGCAACGTTACACTCTGAATTTCTCGTTAGAACTTGTCGTCGTTTCTAGATAATGATCTAGCACCGAAGTTGAGTTTAAGCACCACGAAAGTACGGCCGTTAACTGCAACGTCAACATTGATTCTCAATGTGACTGCCGTCTCCTGAGAAAACATTTCAGTAACGACGCTGGATGCTGTAACGATCGAATTATAAACCATTTGTGGGGCGATGTTAAGAAACTTTATAATTTCCCTTAACGCCTCTCCGCTCTTTTGTGGTCCACAAAGTCTTCTTAAGCGTTTCGTTCGAAATAAAGAACAGAACATGTTCTGAATGTCGCTCAAGACGGATATTTGTAATGGAGACGCGATGTGTTTTTCTTGGAGATGCGGACCAGCTCGCCTCAGGGGTTTGTTACTCGGAGATTGGTTTTAGGGCGATAAAGGTGAGATATAATTAATCCAACTCACAACTTTGTTCTGACTACTGCAAAGTGTCGTAGAGTTGAAAGTTTTAAGTGACAATATGAAGTTCGTGCTTGTGTGGTTGCTGAGGATTGGGCGCTCGCTTACCTGACTTGTTACTTGGAAGAATCTCGACCCCAGACGAGGAAGCAATGTTTTTTACGACGCAAGACAGAAAACGCGAGGAACATGGCTGCTGTCCTGCCAAATGGACAGATCGCGTGGGTGTGTAACTCTGCCCCCGACTCTGACGGGAGATGATTGTAAATTGAGGCGAGATCTCAGGTCCTCAGGGCCGTCAAAATGACGATGTTGTTCTGCTGGACTCCTACGTTTGCTGAGTGCAGACGTACTGAGGAAAATATTCGGAACTGAGAGGGGAGGGGTGACGAGGGGCTGGAGAGGTCTTTCAATCTGTATTGTTCACTACGCACGAGTGCGCTGACCAAATCACGGGATATGTTATGGGCGGGGTGAAGGAAGAAGCCCACTTGGGAGACCTAGGTGTGGAAGGGAGAATAATATTAAAGAGGAAATACTGTTTAAGTGTCGATTGGATGAAATTAGCTCGGGTCGCGGTACGGAGTCTGCTGCAGTGAACATGGTGTGGTCCTTGGAGTGAGTTACGTGCTTGTCTTTCCGCGTGTCTGGTGTAGAGCCTCGCTTGCTGAAACTCAAGGGGGCCGTTAAACATGAGACTGCGCTCGGAATTCAAGTCCAGCTGAACCG